ACAGAGCTCACGCTACACGTCGAGGCCGAACCCACAGCCAAACCCCCACACAGCCTCAAAGATTTCAATCCCCGGATACTCAACTCGCCGTCGATCACACACAGAGATGGAGCCGCCAATAACCACAGCCTGATCTCCACTGATTGCACACACAGCAACACCGCCCACAAAGAAGCCGCACTCACAGAAACGCCGGAGAATCTCAGATTCAACTCCAACCACCCACAATAAAAATTGATTTCCACCTAAGTCCTCTGGGCATGAATGTTTTGTGAGAATGACACGAAAGTCACTGAATTCCAAGATTTTATAAATCGGGTTATCCAAATCTTGAAAAGCCCGTGGAGTTGCAACAAATGGCCGCCGTCAAGTTGAATTGAAGCTTGAATGCTGCTGTTGTATTTAACTAAATGGCCAGAATAGGAAGAAGAGGGAAAACAGATTCTAGAGCCTCACAAAGTTGAAGGAGGCCAGTGCCAAAACCGTCAAGAAACCCAATGAGCTACAAACACACGGTCCACCCATTACCCAAAATACCAGGCGAAAACTAAACTGATGCATAAACAGATCCTCGCCGCCTTCATCGGTGTTACTGATTTGCTGAGAGAGAGAAACCACGGGTTCCGAACTGAAATCAAACCCACCGCAATTATTGGAGACGCGAAATGCAATTCTTTCTTCACGTACAAGTTCAGAAATTGGACCTCGGATATGAACTGAGCTTCAAATAAAAAAAATATCACCAGAATGTTTACTGTGCAAGCCCAAACTGATGAAGATGCCAACTGATGAATCTGTTGACCAAAACCCCGTCGACCCAGAAAAGAAAAAAAATAAACGAAAACAAAAACTCAAGATTGGGCAATTAAATTGACAGAACGAACGAAAACCCTATCAAGACCGGGCGGGAGGAGCAAAAGAAAGCTCCTCCCGCCGTGAGAAAACCTTATCAAGAAAACAAGAGAAAATTTTAAGAAATTGGCTCTGATACCATATCAAGAAATATAAATTGTATTATATTGTCTTGTTAATATTACAATGTAAAAGACCCTATTTATAGGGTTACAAATAACTGTAGAAGGAAATAAACATAAAATGAAATATTACATAATCAACTACTAAGGAAAGTAAACCTACACTAAAAGGAAAGTAAATATAATCGTAATCTTTGACGATCTCTGTAATCTTATTCAATATCCTTGACAGCAAGGCCATGGCCTCACACCATTATCAATCAAACAAGTACATTGCAATTATTCAAGTCTCAAATACTTGTTCAATTAATCAGTCACGTAAGATTGCACTCATGTAATAGTCAGATTGCACTCATGTAAGAAATTGAAGTTACCAATGAGATCACAAAAAAATTGAACAACTAACTCCTAAGGAGTTGATGAAATTAAGATTGTTACAAATTTAAATGAAATGACCCAATATGCATCTAACTCCAAGACGAAAAAGTTTTACTTCAAATTTCTGTTTGAACATCAATTGAGTAAATTCAACATCTCTAAGACTTGGAAAGACAATCTTGGCCATAACATGATCGCCAATTTCACATGGAAATATAGCTACAGAACGTACCTGCAGCTCTTAGGCAATGAACAAATAAGGCCTTCTCCTCCAGGATGTACAGCAATTCTGTATGGCAAATCACTACCAGTTCCAAGCTTTCCCACCTTAACAATGAAATCATGCCATTTTCTTTTAGGAATAATTAGTTTTTTAGATAATTATTACTGTCAAAGTTTCCTGAATATTCATATGCATTGGAGTAGAACTATTCAGGGTGGAAGATGTGGAGCATTATTACAAAGCACCATGTCATGCACACAACATATTTATTAGTACATACCAAATAATATAAAAATATTGTTCTTCCAATAAAATTAGCTCTAGAAGTTCATTTTTTTTTAATTTAATAAAATTTGAACTTATTTATTACCAGAAAAAAGTTGCCCAAGTTTCCTTTATTAATGAAACAGTAAATTTAAGCCGAAAATTGTAGAGAATTCTACTGAAATCAAAATAGCAAGACGGAAAGAACAATAGCCGTGATTCTCATGGTAATAGCATCAGTTTTTTTTTTCAATTTATTCCAAATCGATCAACGCTGAAAAAATCTGCGCCATTTAGCAAAGCCAATAATGATAGACAAATGTAAAATCATAAATACATATAGACGTGTATATGCGCGGGGTGGGGTGCAATTTAATTAAATTGTGAGACTTACAGGCTGATCGGAGAGTGAATTAGAAGTAAAATCGAAGGCAGAGACAAGGAGAGCATTTGGTATTCCGCTGCGGCCTTCTCCACCACCTCCGGCTAGGACGATATGTTGATTCGAGGCGGAGGAAGCCGCCGATTCTGGTTCCGCAGCTGATGATTTGGATCCGGACTTGATGGTAGAAGAAGCGGCGGGTGGAACCCACGCGGCGCCGTACAGTGGAACCCCGTACTTCTTGTAGTTTGATGCGTCGTCGTTTTGGTCGCTCTTCCCCATGGTGAGCTTGTGGAGAAATGGTTTTGCGTTTTGAATTTTGACCTTGGTGATAGCTGAAAATGTGGGACTATTTATATCTTTCTGTTTATAGGAGAAGCTGATCGGGTCCTGACCCGCTTTGACTATCCACGGTCGAGACTTATTTTGACAACGGGTTTTGCTATGTCTCAGCTGACATTTCTAGTGTATCTCCTCAGTTCATGATTTTTTTTTATTGGACTTGATCTTTTATTGACATCTCGATATACAAATAGAAAAATTCTCGAGAAATGCTACATTTATAGTATTTTTAAACGTACAATTTGGCAACCTTCTCACATGAGGGTGGTGCCCACAATCGCGGCCCCACACGCATGTGAGAGGACTGTCAAACTTACTGCGTAAAAAAACTGTACATTCAACATTTTTCAAAACCCTTTTATTGAATGTGAATCCTCCTGATTTTAGCTTAAATGTCTTATAAATAAAACTAATTCACACCTTCTTATGAGATTTTTTTACTTTTTCATAATTTTTATTACTAAATTTTAAGTATTGATTGTTAATACTCAATTTATCACTACCAAATTATTTTAATGTAATATTTAGCCCCTATTTGGCGGCAATTAAAATTAAGATTCTAATTTAAATTAAAGTCAATAATTAATTTCAACAATATATTTTATGTGATCCACAACATTTTAACTACATATTTCATCAAATTTTATCAAAACCTACTAAATTTTTTTGAACCCCTATCAAACGAGGGTTTAGTAAATTCTTTAACGTTAGTTTTATCAAATTATTTAGCCTAAGCTCTGTTTTTTCAATATTCATTTTCAAAGACATATTTTTCAATAAAATAATGTTTTCAAAAAGATTCATATTTTTTAATCACACATTATCCAAAAAATCACTATTCCAAAATACATATTAAGAGTTTGTTTGGTACAGCTCAAAATTGAATTAAAATTGAAAATATAGCTGTTATTGGGTCTCATTAGTCTAATAAAAATCAACAACAATGGCTAATTTTTCAATTTTAATTCGATTTTAATCTCTACCGAACACGTCCTAATTCTCCCAAAATCTCGTTTTAATAGAGCCCAAATAGGGACTTAATTATTAGTTATATCAAATTAATTTGTATTTAATAAAAAATTTATGAACTACATGATATATCTTATTATTTTCTAAAAAGTATAAAGTTAAGCCAACTTCTACCATGATCATGGTATACTCATTAAACTTTGAAGTGCTTCACAATACTCATTGATATATATGTTCTTTGGAGCTCGAACAAATCACTATAATGAAATGAAATAATGGTAAAAACATAAAATAATGGAATCTAAGCCTCGATCCCATATTTGTTTGATGGGAAATGTGAAACGAAAAAGAAAGTACTTTGGTCGTTTGCATTCCGTCCATCTTCCGCCAAATTTCATTTCCCCATCATTGACGTATCAAACGAAATTTCTACACAGCAAGTTACGGCCGTTAAAAAATTAACAACTCAACAAACCATTTAAGAAAATATTTCATTACTTACTCAACTTGTACTATGGTGACGATTTACGCATCAAACTCCAAAATGCTTCACAACGATAACTCAACTTTAAAAGTTGTACTCCATCAATCACTCACCAAATTTTGTTCCATATATTGTTGACGTGTCGTACACAAATCCCACGAACTTCTTAAAATAATATAATTGGAGTATATAGCTTTATAAGTAGTAGCTTCTCGGTCGTTCTCAACAATCTATCCTGTCTTAGTACACATTTTTAGTTGTACATAGGTGATATGAGTGAATTGGGGGACTAAGGTTTTTTGGGCTAAAATTGGGGATGAACAATTGAGTTTAAAAAAGTTTATGGGGCATGGAAGTCGCATTTCACATGTGATATTTTTGGATATTTGAAACATTTAAATAAAGAAAAATAACATAACCTGTATTACTTTCAAAATTTTAGTACACATTAGTAATTGACACTATATGATTCTTTTATTACAGAATGACATCATTTCAAATTAGCTGAGGTATTCAAGCCATTTTATTGGTCTAGGGAGAAAATAAGTTACTTATTTGAGGATATTCATAATGATATAATTTTTTGTTTATAAAATAAGAAGAAAAATTATATTATCAAATATTTATAGAAATAATTAAGCAATAGATAAAAATGATAAATGTGACTGGTTTATTGTATTAAAAAGAAAGTGGATGAACACAATTGCAATGAAGTATAAATCCTTGGGGTTAAACTGCAATTATCAAAAACTTCAGTAACCCAAAAACAACATAGAGATTGCAGTACAGATTTTAGGGAACTTCTTTTTCCTTGCCAACACAAAACAACTTCAAGGCCCTCTATTATTATTGGCTACATTGGTGTTTGAGCTAAGCTAAAAAAAAAATAAGTAGAAAATATATAGAAGGGTTATCGTCATCGTCGTATGTCACATTGTGAGTGCACTAGGATAATTCGGGATGAGATTTAGCCCTTTATTATGCTTATATAGGGTTGGATGATTGGTTCTTGATTGTTGACAAGTGAGCAGCTACAGCTTCTTCCACTGTCAAGAACATGCAATCAGGCCTTGCTAATTCTCTGTAGTCATCAGCCCTCTGCAACTTTTCAATCACCTCACCAAGTGGATTCACCAATACAAGCTGTGATTTGGACTAAAAAGCATAAGTATTAAGCCAAAAACTATGAAAATTTGTTGAAGGATTTTAATGCAACTTGCCTCTAGACCTTTCTTTTCTAGTGCCATCCTCAAATCTTTGAAGAATGAGACTCCATTTGTATCAATTGCACTCACGGCTGAAAAGTGTAATATTCATGTCAGTTTCAATTTTTGAACTATGCACCTTTAACAAATCAAGAAGGGTTTTCGGAACTTTGAAGTAACTTCAAGAAAAAGAACTATTGGAGAGGGAAATCAATGGCCGGAGTGAGAGTTAGAATCGAGAAGAGGATTCTTGACTCCTTCATCTCGTTCAAAACCATGCATTAGAGTTTCAATAGGCTCACCTGACAAATCGAGTATGACGAACTTGATTGTGGACTGCTTTTTTCCATTTACATCCTCTGCTTCATTCTCTTCTATCCATCTTGAAATCCTGAAAAACGCGGAGAGCTTAAGGTCATATTGACAGGAAAATTTTGAAGCAAATAACCCATAAAGGAAAATTGATAGAATTTGTTGATAGAAGCAAAATCCAACCTTTCCTTGAGATAAGTTGTGTTAGCAAAGTTAATTGGAGCTTCAATGCTTAAAATGAGGAAGCCTGGAACTCTAAGAGCATCTTGGTAATGGTGAAGATTACGATATATATTCGTTCCTGGTATATTTCCCAACATTACTGCTTTCGGCCTTGTAATTTGCAGGAGCACCTTAAAAATGGATATCCCAACCTGATAATGTAAGTTATACCATCAGATGTGATCTGCCTTGTTTTCAAAGTGGAATATGGAGGTAAATGTTATTTTCTTTGTGGGGTGGGTGGGAGGGGGGGGAGAGAGGGGGCGTTGAAGCTTACAGCAATGGCAAGGCCTTCTTGGACGGAGATAAAAATGACACCCAAGAATGCACATAGCAACACTAAGAAGTCAAATTTGTCGATTTTCCAAATCTGATAGGCAGCCGGAATATCAATAAGGCCGATGACAGCAGTAATAATAATTGCTCCCAACACCACATTTGGAGTGTATTGAAAGAGTGGCATGAGGAAGAGGAGTGTCACCATAACTGTTACTGACATTATTATGTTAGAGACTGCAGTTTTGCAACCTGCATTGTGATTCACAGCTGATCTTGAGAAAGCACCTGCAATTATTCATTTCCATCAGAAAACTAACGGAGGTTAAGCGCCAAATCACTCATAATTTCTTTTGATTTATGTGATTCAGAATTGAATAGGATGGATATACCAGTCGTAACATAGCAAGAAGTGGAAGAACCAACTATATTCATAAGTCCAATTGCAATCATTTCCTTGTTTCCATCTACTTGATAGTTTTTCAGAGCAGCGAAAGTCCTCCCCACGGCAATTCCCTCCTGTTTCAACAAAATTAATCCGTCATTCATCCAGTCGACAATTAATACTTTTGATAAGTAAAATGTGCTCAAAGAATCCTCTTTAGTATATGTCGTTATTAATCATGTGAAAGATATGGAGCTGCACATATACATAATGTTGGAAAAATATAGTGAAAATCGCAGAATGTCTTTAACAAGAACTACTTACAGTGAGTGAAATAATGCCAGTGACAAGGCCAGTTTTCATTACTAGTCCTAAGTGGCTTCCATGAAAATGCAACATGTTCCATGAAGGAGGATTTAATCCTTCTTGTAGTTTTCCAATCTGGTTTAACCAAAAAAAAAAAACACATTAGGAGAGTAGAGGAATGGTTGAATATAAACGCACTAGAAGAAATTTGATTTTAAAACGAAGGCTTTTGTCTTGAAAAGTCTCTCGACCGATCCTTAAAGTGAGTAGTGACATGAAGTGGACCCGAGAAACTTACTACACTGATGCCATGATTCTGTGCTTTGAATGCAAAAACCAGCAGAGTGGAGAGGATGACTGAAAGTAGAGGTGCCCCCGCTGACACCCAAAACAGCTTTGGTTTTTTCATACCCTGTCACAAGCACACATTACAATGCACAGCCATAAGATTCCTTGTGGTTTAATTTGAGATTAAATGGTAGTTGTATACTAATTTGTAAGTAGGATTGATGGTATAGACAAATTTGAGTCGAAATTGATCAAATTGATATTGATTTTGACTGAGTTTTGATCAAATTTGGCCCAGTTTCAACCGATAACCAGTTAATATAAATCGGTTTGAGATACCTAGATATACACAAAACTAGACTTGATAGGAGACGAAAAATGGATGGGTATTTATCAATTAAAATATTTGTATCAATCGGTTCACATATAAAAATAGTTGCAAATCTAGAGGCATAAATCGTTATTTATTTTTGAAACCTCAAACTTTAAGCAGATAATCTTAATTCTTAACTATCTAGAAAAGTTATTGCAACAATTTAGAATGATGATATTTCAGATTAAAATTATGGTTGCTACAAAAGTTGTTCTTGAACACGACCCAACACGTTGAAAGAAGTTGGTAAGCTCACACGACTTGATGTGCAAGGATTTGCAATAAAATATCAAGCACAATAAGTTTAGGATCGACATTAGAATTTGTAAAAAAAAAAAATAGTAGAAAAAATACTTACAATGTGCCTTGTGAAAAGAAGAAACACGAGGAAGCATAACCCCATTAGTATAGTTTGCCATGACCACTGCACAAAAATCAGATAAAAACAGAAAGAAAAGGTTAAAATAATCACTTTTTTGGCTGTAAGGGGATCAACTTAACCTGGTAAAGTTAATTTAAAGTGGATAGTAATTACCTTTATAAAAAAGTGGATAATAATTTATTCATTATGCACTACTACAGTAAAATTTATCACATAATATGCTAGCGTAGAAAAAAAAAATTATGTAGCCAACCTCAAATTTATTAGAAGAGATGAACTAACCTCGTCTGTGCGATGGAAAACAGAACTGAGAACAGGAACCAAGCCCATTTGTTTGGTAAAATTTGTTATGCCAAGAAGACTCTTAAGTTGCTGAAGAGAAACAATAATAGCAGCACCAGCCATGAATCCAACAAGGGTTGCTTTTGAAAGGAAATCAATAATAAATCCAAGCCTACAAAAATCCAATAACCAGATAAGCTGTTTTCCTTCCGCAGTTGTTTAGACAAGTAGGAATTAATGGTATTGATGATCACTAAACAACCTTAAAAATCCTAGAGAAGCTTGAAAAAGACCAGCAAAAAATGTTGAAGAAAATGCCAGTTGAAGAAACAAAATAGGATCTTTCCCTGGTGAAACTTCTTGTCTCAGCATTGATCCCATGATCAGAGAGGCAATGGAAACTGGACCTACTGCAAGATCCCTTGAGCTTCCAAGAACAGCATATACAAGGGGCGGCACAAAACTTGAATCTGAAAATAATCAAATTTTAGATACATCGGTTCTACGGCCGGTCTGTGACTCTGTATATCAAAGGTTCTCTTTTTACGGGGTCGAAAAACAGCCATGCACCAGATAGAATTTTAACGGAAGAATTACTTACAAAGACCAACAATTGGAGGCAAATTAGCTAACTTTGCATAACTAATACCCTGAAAAAATAAAACCCAAAAAAAAAATTATTAAAAAAACTAAAAATTATTCGCCTGAATGAGTTATAAGAGGAGAAGTGAATTTAAAAAGCTAGAAAATGGAATTCTTAATGACGGGCCTGAGGAATGGCGAGGCTGGCAATGGTGAGACCAGAAACAATATCAGATTTGAATAATTTGAGATTATATTTAGGACCCCACAATAATATAGGGAAAATATACTGAGCTCCAAGAATAAATTTTGTTTTGGATGACTGTCCCTTGAATTGCCGGAGAGGGTCATCAGGAAACAAGGTTTCTTTGAATCTTGTCTTGAGTTTCTGAAGGGTACTCCGGCGAGGTGGTGGCACCACCTTGTGCACCTCCGTCATCATAGTGGCTATCTCCACCGCACAATGAGAATTGCTCGCATTTGGCGGTTCCATTTTAGTGTGTGACTAATATGATATGATGTAAGCTGGGACTATGGGTGGTGGTGTATGGTATTTATGTAGTTCGCAAATTGGCTAGTATGTTCATTTACAACAGTTAAGCCAGGTGGCCCCACTATCAACTTTTAGAAAGACTGTTACTATGCAAACTAGTACTGGTCCACTTGGTCATACACAGGCAGCAAATCTTGGTATGTGTACATAAGATTTATCATGTATAATTTGCATTTGTATATACACGATACGGACCCGATCTCCTGCCTACTGTGCTCGCAGTGGGAGTGGGCAGGATAAACTTTCCTCAGCACCGCTACATAGGCAGGTCAAGCCACTTTATTGAAAAAAAAAAAAAAAATCCAGAATTGTTGCTTTTGTGGTACCGGATTTGAGACGGTGCAACACATTTTCTTCGTATGTCAATTTAGTGCTTTCGTTTGGGAAAAAAAGGTTAGTGTGTCGCTTGACATTAAATGTTCTATGTCTACACTACCTAGTGCATTGACGTGAATTAAAAAGGAGGCTCGAAGCACATCTCAGCAAAGTAAGGCAAAGCGAATTGCACTTGCTAGCACTATTTACTACTTATGGAAGGTACGGAATAGAAAAAAATTTAGGATCTAAGACTGCAAGTTGATATCGTTGTTAGACAAATTAAAACACATGTATACAATGTTATGTTTTCTTTGTATCAGCATTTTTTAGGATCTTTTTATTTTGTTTGTTCGGGTATGTTCGATGTACTTGTATATAATTTTTGATCGATATAATTTATATTTACCGATAAAAAAAAAGGTCTGACTTTAATGTGTCTCCGGGGAATTGAATGGCCTTGCTCATTATTAATGGAATTTCTCAACGACAATATATTATGTATATCTTTAAAAATTAAATGTTTAGAGGATATTAAAAAAATAAAATCTGGAATTAAAGGGAAGTGAAGAGAAGGATGGCCTTATTAAATTGAAGAGACGTGTCAATGCTGATTGAAGATAGAGCAATAATAATGTCATTGAAATGGGAAATTTATAAATGAATGGAATATAAAAAATATTTACTTCTCATTCAAGAATGGTGCGCTTTCCCATGCTGTTTACGAAATTTTATGCATCATAACACAGTTAGTTCTAGACAGTGTTACTGTGATTGGTGGAGATTAAAATTAGATTTTTAGTCGATTTTGATAGGAGTTTTTGAAATGTGTGGTTGAAAAGATGTGGGACCCATGACAAATGTTGTTAATATTGATTATTTAACTTGAATTGAAATCGAATTTTAATCCAGACCAAACATTGGCTTATGGTTCACCCTCTCTGTGTTTTTATGGGTTATATGCAGAAATTTGCGCCAAACATGGGCCTCTTTGGTACAGATTCTCCTTTTCTACAGTAAATCAATTCTCATTTTCAACCACACATTCTTCAATAAAATAATATTTTCCATCACATCAATACTTTTTTCTTCTTTTTCAACCACACATTTCCCATCAAATCACTATTCAAAAATCAATTCTTCCTCCAAAAATCCCTACCAAATACACTCATAATTTACCACTTTAATTATCCTTAAATAGGAATCAACAGAGGCTGGCAAGTTTTAATTTGCATCCTATGTTATAGACATGAATTTTTGCTCTATAGTTATTGTACAATTATGGAATAATTATTTATGACTGTAATCTTATCAAAATATTTAGATAATTCTCAATTTATAACTCTCATTTGAACCCGAAGTTTTCTCACAAATTCTGCCTTTCAACTTCTCTCAAATCCTGAATTCCACCATTCTCTCAATACTTAAAACTTGACGTTTTTATCAAATCATTGTCTTTTCCCACTCAATTCATCGATATCGATGACTGATCATGTTTTTCCTACACTTGAATTTTAATTATATTACTTTTCTTCTATTGTTTTTTCTTTCCTCTTAAGTTTATAACAACAATAGTATAAGACATTGTTTGATTGCAATGAATTCCATGAAAAATATCACATTTGAGGAAAAAAAATTTCACTTTGTCTGTTTGATTGCGACGTGGAAATGAAAACCGAATTTCAAGGTACAATCACTTTAAGCTACATTTTCTTTGTTTTCATGGAAAACGAATTCCTATGAGTTTGGTGGATTTTTATTTTCCAACTAACATGTAATTGAAATTTCTTTCCAACTATGTCTATCAAACGGACCCTAATTTCATAATTTCAAATCCAAATTGCATACATTACATGATAGTCCCGTCTATTATACTTCTATCCAATGATTATGGATCAATCTCAGTAGCCTATTTGCATATAAATATCCATTCCCATTAGGATTTTTTTTTTTGGCGGGGGGGGGGGGGGGGGGGGGGGGCCCCGGGGGGGGAGTGGCGATTATGAGCTGGGATCAGTGACGATGTGTGTAGTAGTGGTATTATTTGTAATGAAAGTGTGGTGGTATCAGTTTTTTGGTTTCTAATTGCTATTTGTGAGTTTCAGATTGTAAGGCAGTGGTGCAGTGATATGTGATGTAGGTACAGTGTGCTATGTGCAGCGGTGTGATGGTGGCTCTGGTGTTGTGCAGTGGTGCTGATCGGTTGTTGTGAGGTGGTAGTGCTAACGTCTTGTCGTGAGATGGTGGTGTTTTTATACGATGTGTTGATTTGTTTGAGATTGTGTTATTGTTAAGAGGTGGTGGCGGTTCTAGCGGCGACGGTGCTAGTGCTGATATGAGTTGTGAGGTGTTGGTCACAAGTGTTGGTTGTGACCACAGATTATTTGGTTGTTTGTGATCATTAAATTGATTAATATGTGACTGATAAACAATATTCGACCAATAAAAAGGATAAATTGTGACCAAAAAGTAATGTGTGACCTAAAAATTTGTTAATTTGTGACCGATAATTTGACAATTTGTGACTGTTTATTAAGTTNTATTTTTTTTTTGCAAAAATGTCCATTTTATTGTCTTTGAATGAAATCATAAATTGTTGACCATGGGTATTTTGGTCTAATATATACCAAAATGGCCATTTTTGCAAGAATTTTTGAAAGTTGCCATTTTTGCAAGTGGTTAGAAGAAAGTGGACGTTTCTTGCAATTTCCACTTTAAATAATTTATAATAATGGCTTTCGAATTACTTATAAATCATATCATATTTGCCTTTTAAATTGTGTTTGGCCAGAATATTTATCTGAACTGTCGAAAATAATAGAGTTTTTCAAGTTCAATTAACTCAATGTGCCTAACTAATAAATATTCCTTCCAATATGTATTACCTTTATATACGTTTTAAAATAAAAGAATATTCCTTCCAATTAACTCAATGTGCCTAACTAATCATACTTTCTAGTACAAGGAGAGGGCGGAAAACGCACTCTCCCTTCTTTGATCAACAATATTAACCATTATGAAGCTTCCAATGATTTTTGAACTCTCTATGTTGACGTTGATATTCTCTAGCTACCCATGTAGAGTGTCTAGCGAGCACTAATTTGTCACTCTAATACTTAATGACAGACTATGAAAGTAATAGATATAATTGAATTGAGTTCTATATTGTATGCCTAGAAATATAGTGGGAAGCTTTTATGTATAGGTATTAGAGGTCGTTTGTAAATGAATGTTATTTAGATAGCTATATTAGGACATTACTAGGATCATCTCAATTCATTGGACTCATCTTCACAATCAAGAGAGAAAAGTTCCTATTGAAGTGAAATTTGAATTTTGCCCTTGGTAAGAGTCATGCAGATTTCGATTTCGAGTCATACCCTTGGGTTTGAACGTGCGTACAGGGTTTAAGGGGTGTTAATTTCTGTATCGTGATTCGTCGATCAATTTTTTTCTTCAAATGCTGCTAGTTGATTAGCCTATGCCCTGGTGGTCTCTTCTGCGTTAGTCGTGTCCTCCATAGTTGTTTGTTCCACTTAAAGACGGTAGTCAACTAGTTGTTGTTGTTGTTGGGAATATTTTTCCCTAAGAGAGGAATGGAGAAGAAACCAAGATTATGATTAGCAACATGATGAACAAAACTAAGTCCAAATGTCAATTCAACAACGAAAAACAAANTGTGTCCTCACATCGAAGTCTCTATCAGTGCGAACATAGATCTTCCACAACAAGATTCTAGCAACATACCACGAACCGAAATAAGGAACTCCAATGAAGTGAAATGAAAGGCTCAAACACGAATAATGAATCGCTGTCCTCAAACGATATTTGTCCTCTCTCCTATATAAATTGGTGCTTAAAGGGTTTTCCGGCAAATGGTTTGTAGGATTGATCAAGCCTTGTAAAGAATTCAACACTTCAGCACTTGTGTGATTCTTCAAAACTTCAAGAACACAAAGGGAGATTTGAATATGGATGAAGAAAGAATAGATTTCTTTCTTTATGGAATGAATCTTTGATCTCAATTGGTTTAGTGATTCTATATGGTTTCCATCCATTTCCAATGATCAATAATCACTTATTTATAGCCATCAAACATTGCACTACGAAGTGGTGCCAAAAAGGAAGTGAAAAGCCGCCAAAAATCAAACCGAAAAACTGCCCAACGGATAGTTTTTATCCCCATGCGACCGCAAGGAACAACTCCATGTGGTCCCATGGAGTTACCGAGATCAGGGATTTTGGTCCCTGATCATGGCCATGCGATCGCAAGGCCAAATGGTCCATGCGATCGCATGGGCCAAACTTGGCCTTCTCCGGTTGTTCCTCTATTTCATTCCACACTCGTTCCTTTTGGTTTTGAACAACAAATTATCGACAGTTGGTGTTCAAGTGAAATGGTTACAAGAAGAGGTTGTTGTGGATCCATGTTTCAAAGGACTTGCATATATTTTCCATGGATTTGCATATATTTTCCTTCTCTTGCAACTTTTTTATCGCTGGATGTGTTTGTTCTTGTAGTGATGTTCTTGAATTATTGGCAAAAATGAACCATGGGAAGAAACCTTTTTCTGTTGTGTCTAGGCTGTTCTAATAATTATTTGTGGGCTTTTCTGTTTGTGTTG